GCGCACTGCAATCTGCAATTGCATATCTACTTCGTCGACCAACCAAAGGTACATGGCAATATATGCTCGCACAAAGCTTTTGGTTCGCCAGGCATTCCCTATTTAGTAAGATTTCCATTTGGCTAAAACGTCATTATTCATGAGCTGGGCGGTAAATGCGGGCAGTTTGGTTATGTTTCTTATTGAACATTCTATTTTGCTGTTATTCTGCATCTTTTGCATTGCTTTTGGTGTCATATCGTTGGCGTGTCTGTGAAGGTTGAACATTCATCAGTCCCGGGTGCATAAAGGTGTTTTCTTGACTTGAATTGACTTCACACACGCCCTCTTCCTGTTGTAATTGAAAAGGTTGGACTTGGCATAGATACCTTTCGCCGCGGGCCCGTACGGCAATCGAGAGATGTGTTTTCGTACAAACGTCTTTAACAGACTGAGTTACGGCACAATTTATGGGGGGATTTGCAACTGAGAAGTGTTAAGCTAATCGAGGAAGGTACTCTTCCAGCTAGTCCGAAGCGCAAAACTTGGCATGCAAGATATATAGGGTTGGCGGCATCCGGTTTCGGATTTGCCTGTCACTGTGGCCAGCCACAGGACGCCTGTGCCTACAGAGGGACCATGCGTGGCTTACGCTGCACCACCCACAGCTCCATCCACACACCCCATATCCAGTGTAAACCCGAAGGAATAAGACCGGGAGGCATGTGGATGGGAGCCACGTTTCATCAACGGAGCCGGCCCACACTCCTTCACAATCAAGCTCTTACTGAGGTACAGAAGGTCCCTCATTCGGCTGTGAGGTAGAGCGCACTAAAAAGCCAATTGTCTAGTAGTAGATGTTAGTCTATCTCAAAAGACCCCCGGTCACATGTGCGTAGAACGACCGCATTCATGCATGTGAGTACATGTGTAATTACCAGTGTCGTTCATCATTAAAACGGTGGATGGCGCAGGTGGTTGAGTTGGAGTCGACCTACGGCACGCCGCATGGCAAGTTCACCGATCGATACACACACAAACACACACATACGGCTGTTCACCGGAATCCAATGAACTAACGATGACTCAGCCTTGGAGCTGAGAATGACACTCACCGCGTGAGTGCTGCATCAGCATCTCAGGATAGGTGCAACCAATACCAAATGGACAAGCCGGGTACCGTTAACTCAACAACCACGATAGAATAGTAATCTTTACTCAGTTGAATCGCGTGAAGGCTCCGACATCAACCTGATTAATGGCGATAACTGACCTCTAAACTGATTTTAGCCTGTTTTAAAGACCTCAGCAGTCGGTCTAATTGAGGTAACTGGTTCAGTTGTTGTGGAGTTCTCCGAGCTGGGCAACTTGATTGCAATCAGGTTGTCCAGCTCGGAGAACTCCACAAAAACTGAGCAAACCTCCCAATATTCCAAATCATTTTGAGGTAACTGGTGTATACTGGTACTAGTCTGAAGAAGAGTTATGGAAAACATATGTTCGCTTGCACTGTCTTCTGATTAGCTAGTTGATTTCTTTAAAACCCCATTGTGGTCACTGATCCTAGTTTCTGACACAACCTATGTCAAAAGCCCGTGTGCCCAACGTGCGTGTGAGTGCAGCATGTTGGCCTATTTGTCTCAGAGCAGACGTTGAACCCCGCGAGGGGGACGAGACAACATTGCATTATAAGGGACTGTTGATGATAAGCATCCGATGGTTGTTGCAGGAAGGTGGCTGGTGATGGTTCTAATCCAGTGACAATTCGGTTTCTGTCAATTAAGCTAGGAATTATAGAAGGAGGGTTAAGGATGACGGTCGGGATGGGAATAAGAGAAACAGGTGGAAATGAAGGAATGGAAGCCCCAGCAGTAGCATGTTTTCGCTTATCCGCTCTGCTGTAGGCAGCAAATAAGGCAACCCTTGATAAGCTGCGCGACGGCCGATGCAGTATGTGATTGAAGTTTGAAGAAATGGTCATAGTTGTACGTGGGCTGAGCTACTGCCCAGACAGGTGGACGATTAGGATCCTCAAACAAAGTCTTTGGCTCAAAAGCCTGTCCGTAAGGCAGCGGAAAGGTGGCAATGATTTAGTTTTACAGAAAAGGATGCTATCCAATTTTAAGCCCCAACCTAGAGGACAAGGTGACGGAGTTTGTCTGACCTCTAACCATCGACCAAGATGCCAGGAGTAGCTCTCAAAGAGCCCGGAAGCATCCGGAAGCTCAATGGATCGAAGTATGCAAGCCGTCGCATCATGTTAAGTTCCAATTTTGTTGTGATGGTAACTGAATCTTCATTTTGGTGCCAACTCAAGACCTTCCTAAAATACTACGGTGTATTATTAGAATAAATGTTGTGAAATCATCTGATGGGATGCTGGATCATTGTTTATGGTGGAAATCTTGATATACCATAACAATTATACACTTTGTCCGAAAGAAACCTACAAAGACTGAACCAAGCTAAACACTCAATGCCGAGAATATTTGGTCCTGGCTGATTAGTGAGGTGACATATTGTCTAAACTGTGTGATCATTGTACGTCATCAGTATAACTCTTCAAGCAATCCCGGATTTTAACCTAATGCGCTGAGTGCGATTTGTTTAATGGGCTGGACTGTAGCATACCTGATAGTTTCACACATAGACTCTGAAATGATTGTGATATCGTACCAAGTATCCGCTTGAAGTATTACTGGATAGCCACTAAACGGAGCTGAGCAGCATCGAATTGTGACTACTGTCGCTGTAGAATCGCATTGTATTCGTCCGTTGGTATTGCCATTATTGGTGTCGTTAATTCCGTCGCGATCATAGGTTGGGATCGAGGCCAGATGAGCCCTCTAGGTTGGACTTCGGCATACGACCGAAGATAGGGGGAATTTGCCAAAGGGTACTTAATCCTTTCGATTCTTATGCACTAAAATAACTCACCTCCCACGGGTAAGAAACTAACTGTGTTCCCAAAATGTCTCAAAAACTACTTACGTACGTATATAGGCTAACTCGTAAACGAGCTGACCACAAGACTAACAGAACCACCTGATGCGCATGTCATAGCCACTGAGGGATAAGTCTAAATGGCGAGCTCTGTTCAGAGATTCGACAGTTGCAGTGTACAAGTTAGGCACAAGGCCTGAAGATTACGAAGATTTTATCCAGGTACTTAGGAGATGATTGCAATTAACACCCAATCGTGGTGTAAATCGACAAAGCCAAGAGAAGTGTGAACCGACAAAGCAGTTTGTAGCTGTCCAAGAAGTGGCAGGCTGATTTAACCGGCCAACCTGAATAGTGTTGGTGAGCTGATCCTGGGCACACAGCGAACATTAAATCGCTCCACTCCACCCCCATCCCTGAAACGTAACCTATAAAACACAACACTTGGGAAAATTCAATCCATACTGCATAACTCAAAATGACACTGAACTGTTAACCGAATCAGTTCCTGCCTACACATCAGTCGGAGCGATTATACTCCATCCTGGTTCAGTTGGCCAAACAAATGTGAATGGATTCCTACCAAATATTGTATTCAAGCCTTACTAAACTCGTGAGTTCTTGATCGGTTCCAAGCTTGTTGCTAAGTAGTCACTGTCCACAGAATGGAAATATTTGGGTGTTGCTCCTCCGCACACCGGCACACCACGGTCCTGTCGATCAAAATAACTGTGGTTTACCTCAAACTGAACCGAGGTCTCAATAGAGGTTGCGAGTCGCAACCCAACCACACAGCGTGTTTGATAAATTCAACTTTTGGTCACTGTCCACTTTATCGCCATTCCTCAAGCGATCGAGTGATTGTCCATCTACCTCAACGTTGCCATGCAGCTGAGGCAAAACGGTCCAGCCCGTCGGGCGCATTCTCAAGCGTGTCAAGAGATTTCACGTCACCTAATCTCTGTAAACATACCAATGTGAACCAAGCACACACACACACACACACACACACACACAACCTGCATCCAATCACCACATGCACTAGATCATTCAATTTCGCGCCTAGAAAACCTAAAGTTTCGTTGGCTTAACCGAACATCATAATCGATTGGTCCAAAAATACATATGTTTATGAGTCTCGGACACTGTCCCACTTCCTGTGCATACGTTCTGCAAAGTAGCATCTGAACGTGCATAGGGATAATGAAATAGGGCTCATTGACTGAGAACCGATTCTTCGAATGGCACCGATGCACAAAACTGTGGCTAAGCACTTTCAATCACCTACAATCGCAGGTACCTTCAAACACTTTATCCATGATTAATAGTAAACAAGTCTACATGAAATACCGCGAAATATAATTCCTCCTAAGTCTTCTAATTTCCTCTGCACTTCCATTTACGTATAACAAACTATAGTGACAACTTGCGTGTAAATCGATTTTCTGTGTAAGAAAGTAGGACGTACATGGTAATATTTGTCAAAAAATGGAATGAAGATCGAACACAAACGCCTACAAATTATCAGGGAACAAAATACTAGATCACGGAGGCGGGGTCGTCCCACTTACACATTGGCCTCATCTAAATGGCGTTGGCGTATACATGCCTATGAAACACGACGCGTGACCCATAACCACATTCCGTCTCTCACTAATGCTACTCGCAAATGCACTCACGCTCGTAGATATCCGATTAGTCCCAGACAATAGAAAGATGTGTATTCGTAGGCATGTTTGCAAAATAGTGAAATTAATCCCAAGAAAATATCAGTTGTAGGCGAAATGAGCAGCAAACTACATAACGATCGTCCAGCTCTTAGCTGCTTGTTTGCAAATACAGTAGGTTACAAATAAATTGTTCGCATAAAAGTCAGCAGATGTTCAGACTTTGTGCCGCGACACAAAACGTCGAGATTAAAGAAGGGGTAGAACTAGTGTTTGCATTCTAGTTGACCAGACTGACTGTTCCACATGGGGCAATCTGAAGGGTACGATGGAGAACGAGTATGGCATTGAGGTTGATAGCAAGGCGCAATCAACGGCGGTGAATCTGCGTTGAAAGCCGTAACCGAACATCTATTTATCTACTCTTAAGTTCAGTTGGTTCTCCAAACGTTGAATCTTCCTTCGTTCTTTGAACAGACGCTTAGGGTTCCTGTCCAAACAAACCACACAAACGTCTTTCCGGAGCACCACTTCAACGCACTGACGGCAAAGAGCAGCTTTGTCCAAAGTACACACGCTGATGTTTGGTCCTGGGTTTATCGCATCATGACAAATAAGGCATATCTTTTTGTCCATCCCCAACACTTTGGCCAAATTCTGACTGACTGAGGCTACAAACGAGGGCTGACTCATGCGCCTTGCCTCCTCCTGCAGCCGGCCTTCACGTACCCAATGGACAATTAGATTTCTCGTGGTTGTCATATGGCGTCGACGCTGGGTTAGCAGCGAATTGTACAAATGAACAGTGCGATGTCGTACACGGGAAGGGTAGAAAAAGGACGCAACTACATGCCTCAGACGCAGCAACAGTGGGGAGAACAGAGCCAGGGCGAATAGCCCATACCAACTTGTGTAGAAGTCGCTCTCTAATAACTCACTTGTTTCATGAATCGTCGGGCTGCAGTATGAAGCATCATAGTCCAGATCAATACTTTTCAAGTTGTCTAGGTTGTGGAAAAATCGAGTGAGCAGTTTCTGAAATATTCCATCTGCCCCTTTGACGATAGCGTATGATCCGGTGTAGCTAGTTTCTCCCACACGCCTTCGCATCCCGTAGTACCCGAAGGTCAAGTCGACCAAAAATGCGACCATTTCTATCAAATGATTATTCGCTGCAAACGCAAGAAGTAATATGAACCCAAAAACAAAAATCCGCAACAGTAGTATCATTACACGTTTTATCTCTTTCGCAGTGTAAAACCTTGTTCGCCAGTAGACATGTTCCCTTTCCATTGACTTCAATGGTAGCAGTGTATCACGTCCGTCATCCAATCGCTTGGAGTCAATCATCTCAAACATTTTTCCAGCGTACACGTTGTCAAATTTAACATCCAACAGATAAGCAGAGATGTACCGGTGAGCTTGAAAGAACACTCCTACAATAAACAGCCGAGCGAGAGCGCTCACGATAATGAGGATGTAGAATAGCATGTACATTCGGTCGGCTAGCTCATTTCGCTTGGTATCGGTGTCGGTTGAAGACGGATTCATCCATTGTTCCACTTTCCCTGGTTCAAAATCTTCTTCCTCGTCCGATGAGTCAATGGAAATCTGAAACTCTTTGGAAATTGTCTCTAACACATTCACTGCCTCCACGGCGAATGCACCCACACCATACTCCATGCCTAGGGTGCTGGGAACCGCGTGACAGTCTTTCTCAGCCTCAAGCAAAAAGCGTCTAGTGGGACAGGCCGCGTCGGTTGGTTTGCCGTTTAAACATGCTTCTCTGAACCACACTGGCTCGTGATCCAAGTTTTGTATCGCACCTTTTAACGCATCACAAAGTTCGGTAGCTTTTTCACGACAACGTTTGACACTCAGTGACCGGATAAGCATGCATGACATCACGGACATGCGGTTCACATTCTCTTCAAATTCGCCACCTATGGTGATCGCTTTTTGTAAACTTCCCATTTGTTGCATGGGCAAATGGGCTCGGTTACTCCGATCCAACGCCTCTCCCCTCTTCTTTGATACTGGGTCTGAAAGCATCCTGATCAACCTTTTGGCGCTTTCTAGGTACGTCTCATTGTTCTCTTCTGTAAATTCCGACTCGACAGCAGCAGCCAGTTTCAACTGGTTTTCCGACTGCAATGAACAAGTGTAGAACGGGTGTTAACAGGCGGCGTAGTTTTACCTAATTACAGCTTACGTAAAAAGTAAAAAACTACAGGTGTGATTTGAAATTACTTTCCTTCTTTTCTTTCTTCGCACGACTGTATCGACATAAATGTATGCACAAAGCAAAGTTATATGTCAATGACTACATTATAGACACCTGAAGCAAAGGTAGGCGGAAGTCTCAAATCATGGTATTTGCATGAATTGACAGCAATCATTGATGAGGATATGTGAAACCGAGTGAAAAAGCGCCTCCATATATTTAGCCATCATTCCTACCTGACTTCGTCACAAACGCACACACATTCAACAATCCTACTTTCGTGGTGGAGCGAGAGCTCCGCATCCCCCAGGTAAGACGCACATTGACACAAGTAGCACGGTGGCAGCGTTCGGTGAGCAAATTCAAGTCCTTCAATGCATTCTTCATTTAGATGGGAAGGTGTGAACTAAACTGGTAGCAAAACACGTCAACTGAAAGTGAGAAACACCTTTCGGCTTTTGTGTGACAGTACAGAAAGATGCTAAATGCAAGAAGTGGAATACGTAACATACTAGAAAACTTGAATGAACATGTAATATAATGCTATGTATCACATAATGCCTGGTATCTATAATCGTGGATGGAGGCAGAATATAAGCCAGAAAGGGTGGGACAAGGTAACGCACAGCGGAAATGCCACTGAGATCAGCTGTTTGCCATGTCAACTATAGTGTATGCAATCAAGTGTCATACATACTTGAGACCCCAGGCCGGCAGTCGAGAGACAAAAACTGACGCCAACTTCGAAGTGAGGGACATCATTCCTCTTGACCAAGTCATCAATTAACCTCCCTCTTCTTCCATCCAGACCCCCGGCACGCAAACAGAGCAAAACGTGGGAGTAAGTGTGCTGACATGCACAACACGTGGCCCAGCCATCGGTGCCTGGTGCGTGAAATAACGGTGCTGAGTTGTTCACTCGCTCCTCCTACAACAAATACGCGACGCTGAATGCGCGCATTGCTCACATGCTGTTTCCACCAGACGTGAACTAAGCTGTAAAGCTATCGATGGTGGAGCCTAGCCTCTTTATGTATGTCGATTTGATGGGTCAGTTTTCACAACGGTGCAAAGTGGCTGAATGTACGGCGGCACGGTAAACTCTGCCTTTCAAAACAAGACTGATGTCGTGTCGGCACGACAGGTAGTGGAGATTAGTAAAGCTTACTCGAGTTTCCGCTATACGGTTTGTGACTTCGTATTTTAATCCATGCGCGCTACTATAGCTGATTACTTGTTTAAATAGCTGAAACACTTCTGGTTGATTCCCACCAACAGTCAATCCAGCGTGGGTCCCTAGAAATCTTAGTGACGGAATTTGAATTACAAGGGCATGAAGCATAAGCAGAGAGACAACTGGCAGCCAGGGCTTAGTGGTCCAATTCTGCGTGACACGTTTGGGAGCTCTCAAAGCTTATGATGTTGTCGTCTGCGTACTGCGACTTTAAGTCCGAAACATAGGTGCAACTCCAGGCCTGGGAAGTCGTGTCCAGTGAACGCCATGTCCATAAGTTCGTCGATGGAGAAGTTAAAGAAGAAACGTGACAAGGAGAAACTATGACGCATACCGCCGGGGATATTGAAAGACGCTGCATGACCCACGCGCGTACAGCGTTCTTAAAACATTTATATATTTATCGGGGACCGCTTTCGTGAGCAGACAATCCCGAAGAATACACCGATCCATCGAATCGAAGACAGTTTGATGTAGAAAAGCACGACTGTCTTGGGTAGCCAATACATATGGCCGTATCCGAACAAGTAATCTAGGGTGAACATATAGGCAATACAGCCTCAATCGCCAAAAATCTCGGCTTCTTTCTCTCAAGCATGGCTTTCAGAGTCCATTGGTAAACGGTCAATGGTATATTGCGAATACAATAGTGGAAGCTTGACATGTCCCGCCAGATGATCGGTTAGCGTGAGCAAAAGTAAAAGCAAAAATGTCCATAAGAAAGAGTAAATAAGTGCAAATTACGAACTTGCCGATAACAGCGTTCCCGTCCGTTTTATGTACTATCCAAGGTTATCGTTTATGGTTTCCGGGCAAAATTGGAGGTGGTTTTGTTTGTTTTACTGCTGTTTACATGGGTCGTTTGGATTACGTGATATGGGTTAGTGTGGCCAGTCCACAGTCAACACTTGCTTTGAACACAGCTAATGTGGGGGCTGAACTAACAGCCTCTGAGATGGTATTACATGTTTGGCAAATATGCAGCCAGAAGCAGTTCTTCGACATTCCAAACGCAAGTATCGTTCTGCCAATTTGAGTTGATGACCTCGCAGTTGGTTGTTGTGACTTACCTCCAACTGATGATGACCCGAGTGCTGAATGTTGCTTCCCACTTGGTAAATCATGATTAGGTCCACACGTAAACGGCGATAACGTCTGCTGAAAATGCCAAACACTGAGACACTGTAAGTGTGATAAGTGGTGCAGTCCCTTGACATTTTTGGTTGCCCGACGTTGTGGAAGCTCCAAGATTGCAAGATCCCGGTTTAGCCATGGGTGCCATGTTTGGATAGCAAATCCAAAATGAGAACGTATTTAAGCGGGAAGTATTTGGCGAAAACTACGCAGTTCGAAATACCCCAAAGCTCTACGTAAAGGCCACACGCTTTGGATCCCCTTCTTCGAAGCCCCTTTGAACTGCTTCGAACAGCCGAGGTCTTGCTGAACCAAGACACCGAGATCATTTTCGAGAGCATAGTAAACCGATTCTGTTCCCCAAGCTTACGTGTGTGGATCATTCGGTGTCTTAAATGGAGCCCTCGACATCCATCCACATTGAATAGAAAGCGATTTTGGATTTACCATCCACAAATCTTGTCAAGCTCGAGTTGAAGTTGGATACGGTATTCTGCAGCTCTGGTCACTCGCCAAACTTTGATGTCATCAGCGTAGAGTAAACAGTTTGATGCAATTTGACTCACTAGATCTTCTTTGAAGACCAAGAATAGACAGGGCCACAGTACCGAACTCTGTGGCACTCCGTATTAGACGTGAATTGAGTCTGACATGGATTTACGTACTCTCAAATCTAGACGCCCGTGAAAGAGAAATTTACAGATCCAGCTGAGGAGAGGATCGCAAATGCCATATGTTTGAAGTTTGGCAAGAAGCATACGATGGTCCAACCGATCGAATGCCTTAGAGAAATCAAGGTAAGCCACATCAACTCCTGCTCCAGCGTCCATAGTTTCCGTCCAGCTGTCTCGTGCTAACAATAGATTGGTTGTGCACGACCAATTCTGGCGGAAGCCGTGTTGCTGCTGAGCAATGTAACCAAAGTCACCCAGCTAAAGCATGAGTGCGTCGGCAATGATAGCCTCCATAACTTTTGAAGAACTAGTAGTAGAGTCACTGGTCGATAATTAGCTGGGTCGGAACGACTACCCTTATGTAAATTGGAGATATTATTCCGTGTTTTCACATTGCAGAAAGCTGCTGCTCGTCAAGGCAGTGCGCGAACAACGGCGCCGAAGGCTCAGCCAAAATAGTGGCCGCCATAGCAAGCGTCTTTGGGTGGATGTCGTCAATTCCTGGACAGGCGTGCAGGAGCGATGTCTGCCGTAAAGTTTATTTGGGTGAGTCCTGGTTTGGTCACCAGAGATTCCAAAGATTCAGGAGACCACATGATGCAATGAAACGTTTATGCCTATTGTTATTGCAGCACATTCGACGCTTCTTTAGCAGTCCGAGTTAGACAATCCGCTGTTTGAAGACGGGAAAATCAACTTTTCACCTTGAGGAGGCTGCTTATGCGCTTGTACAAAAGCTTAGGATTTGCAGTTACTCGTTCGGCTAACGCAACTTGATAAGCTACTTTGTCCTCGCGCACTAGTTTGCTACAGTGGTTCCGGTGCACAATATACGCCTTCCAGGTACTCGGTGTCGGATTGGTTTTGTGAGTATACCACTCCGGGTTGCGCATCACCATGCGTTTGCATGTTTCACACTGTATAAACGACGTCATGTTTCTCGAACTGATAGTCTTGCTTTCCGATACTCCACTAACCAGGATGTTCCACTTACTGACGAAACGTTCAAAGGCAATATTGGGTGCATCTTCAGTTAGCAAACTCCAGGCGGTCACTTCAATGAGTCTGGTTAAGATGTCGTAACTGGTTAAGCTTCGCTTTGTTTGGGTTCGGTCCTCTGTATATTCAGCACCGTAAATGTACATGAAATGGAAAGTCGCATGATCACTGCGGCCCAGATGATTATCAATTAACACTCTCTTGAGCATCACTGCCTCATTAGTGCATATTCGGTGAAATATGGATAGCCTGTTATTTCCGTTGAATCTGGTGGGCGAAGTAATGCGGTTATAAAGCGGAAAATCTGAGACAAGCTCGTGTGGGTTTGCTTTGAATTGTTCTGTGCGTGTGGCCTGAGATTCTAGAGCATGTAAGTTGAAATCGCCGGCAACTAGAACGTGACTGTACTTCCAGTTTCTCACCTGCCTCCTTGCAGCCACCAAGTCGCAGTCGAACTCAAGCGTAGACGATGGTGGTCGGTAAATAACAACCATTAGGACAAGATCGTTCCCTCCTAGCCGGAAGTTGTACCAAATAGAGTGGTACCTCGGTTTCCGAATCGTGTATGGGTTCGCACTACATGTTGTTACGAAACTAGAGGACTATCTCACCACCTTTGTTGGCTCCATCATCCCAGACAACAGACATACCTGTCAGTGCGATTTCGGCATCCCTTATCTCACTGTCCAACCACGTTTCCATGATATCGAAGAGGTCTTAAGCTGCTGATGCGTGTCGAAGCCTTAATTCAGCTATTTGGCTGAGTAGACCTTTGTAACTTGTGTACATGCATGAGAGCATCTCGAAAATCAAAAGCGTGTTGTGTGAAGCAAATTCATTTATGCCGACAGATGAAAAGTCGGTGGCTACTCGTTTTTGGATG